ATCAAACAGCAATCCTCAACAACTACACTATTAGCTCAAACAAGAATGCTAGTAACCGCAAAATGCACAAAAACAGCAACAATTGAACCAAAATTACACCTTTTTAGCTACATTTAATCAAACCCCACAAGATATCTTTCTTCAAAATATCTAATTCACATCTCCACTACTTAATCCCACCTCTAATCTAAAGTTCCCATATTTCAACACGCAAAACCCACTAATAGAATCAAACAGCAATCCTCAACAACTACACTATTAGCTCAAACAAGAAAGCTAGTAACCACAAAATGCACAAAAACAGCAACAATTGAACTCAAAATTACACCTTTTTAGCTACATTTAATCAAACCCCACAAGATATCTTTCTTCAAAATATCTAATTCACATCTCCACTACTTAATCCCACCTCTAATCTAAAGTTCCCATATTTCAACACGCAAAACCCACTAATAGAATCAAACAGCAATCCTCAACAACTACACTATTAGCTCAAACAAGAATGCTAGTTACTGCAAAATGCACAAAAACAGCAACAATTCAACCCAAAATTACATCATTTTAGCTACATTTAATCACACCCCACAACATATCTTTCTTCGATACATCTAATTCAAGTCTCCACTACTTAATCCCACCTCTAATCTAAAGTTCCCATATTTCAAAACACAAAAACCCACTAAACAGAATCAAACAGCAATCCCCAAAAAAACAACACTATTAACTCAAACAAGAATCCAACAAACTCACAGGAGACTTAACCACAATAGCTTCAGGCTGCAAACTAGCAGACCCAATTCGAGAATCAACACCAGGGATAGAAAATCGGTGGTAATCCTCAGGTGTAACAAACGGCGGCCTCATAGAAGCAAAGGGTAAGTATCTTTTGATCGGATGAGAGATCTGACTCCTCCCTCCACCGTTTACAGCGGCGGATGATGACTGAGCAGTGGGTGGCGCCGCCGCACCAGTGGATGCACTAGAACCTGTCATTTTTTCACTAGTTTTGTAATCAAAGATAAGGAATAGATACCCTTCGAGCTCAAGATTTTGGGATTGTTGAAGAGAAGGTTCTGAGGGGGGTGGGTATGGGGTGGGGGTGGGGGTGGGGGTAGAGGGGTGGGGTGGTAGGGGGAAAGGGTTTCTCTGTGAATGGCAAAGGAGAAAACGAGGGAAGGGAGGGAATTTTGGTTTTTGTATAGATGTGGAGGGAAGAGAAAATGTTTTATTTTGTTTCTGTTCATTTTGGTCCATATGGATACTTATTGTTTGCAATTTGACCCCTTTATTGGTAAAAAATTACTATTTTATTTTTATTTTTTATTCATTTGTTTTGGGCAATAAAATGACCGAGGTCGAGAATTAGGGTAGAAAATTAATTGGTTCAAACGAGTTTTCTCTTTTACATTGGAGAACATGATTCTAGTAAGTAGGGGTGGGTATTCGGTCTGGTTTTATCAAATTTTGGTTCAATTCTTCGATGTGAAAAAATGTGCACCGAATTTCGAACCAATCTAATTTGATTTGGTGTTTTTAAAATGACTTTTTCAGTGAGCATGAATAAACAGTATAAACACTTTTAAAAAAATGTAAACCATGTTAAGTGGTGATATATCTCACCATGAAACAATTATTGTGCTTAAAAGATTGTTTGTTTGTTTTTCAAAAACATTGTGTCTCCAAAATATTTATGTACACCCCTATACTAGTAGGAGCAACTTTTCTACACCATCTTCTGGTACTATTAATTGATATTACATTTTTGATTATCTTACTATTTTTTGTTTTAGATACTTTTCTTTCCTCATTATTTTCATGCTTGTAGATAGAGTCGTCAATATGGGCTAGGCCTGTTGGGCCAGTCTGGCTTAACCTGGAATTTAATAGGGCTGGGCTAAGATTTTTGGAGCCCATTTAAGAAAAGGGCTTTTTAGCCCGGCCTGAATAAGCCTGTTGATTTGTGGGGCTTGAGAAATATAGGTAGGGCCGGCCCGTGGGCCAGATAAAAATAATTAAAAAAATATAATATAATATTAAAATTTAAAATTAAAAAGAATCCAAACTCAAAATCTATTTAATATTTAACTAATTGAAACCGCATATAAATTGCAGATGAAAATGAAGATGTTAAGACAACCTTGCCACAAGCTGATTCAGATATGCTTGATGAAGATGATCATGAAGTGTTGGATACGCCATAGATTTCATGATGTGTTAGATACGCCATAAGTTTCATGATTTTTTTAAGGAGTTTATTTTTAACTTTTTTATGGTTGGAATATTGCACATTTTTTGTGTTTTAATGTGACAAAACAATTAGGTTAATATTTCTATTTATATATTTATACTTTTATTTGAAAAAACCTTAATAAATATTATAAAGATAATTTTATTTGTGAATTTGATTAACAAGTAATAACATTAACATGATGTAATATTGTTTTGTCGATATTTATGATAATATTTTTAAATTATAATTTATAATTTATTTTAATAATTATAAAAAAAAGTATAATTTTTAAAAAAGTGGGCTGGCCCGACAAGCCTGTAGCCCATGTACTTGTGGGTTGGGCCGACCGTTTTCTGGCCCACACCAAAAATGGGCTAGCCTGGCCTGACCCGTAAAATGTCAAAGCCTATATGGATTAGCCCGGATGGGGTGGGCTAGCCCATATTGACAGCTCTACTTGTAGATTTCAAACTTATTTTTAAAAACATTTTTCTTTAGGTGAGGGTCTATCAGAGCGTATCTACCTTACACGAGATGGGAGAGTAAAATTTATATATATTTTATCTCTCACACACAGTATACTGCATTTTTGAGATCACACTGAATATATTGTTATTGTTTTGAAAATTGAAGTTATAATAGCTCTAAAGATTCATTGCATCTTGAAATCACATAGATAATTTCAAGTTCATTACAATTTTATAGGAGGGTAAAATTGTTTGCGCGACACACACGAAACAGTATCTTTTGAAGAGTCCAAGCAACATAGTGTCTGAGAGTATAGACAGGGAAAAAAGCACAACACAGACGGTATCTAACAAATAAACATATAGCTATCTTTTAAACCTGTGAGATGCTGAAGAGATTGATTACCCAAAAAGTGGATCACTACTACCTGATAAATATATTTCATAGGACTAACATAGAAAAAAAGGCAGCTCGATGAACGAAGCATCCTGCATTCACGCAGGATCCGGAGATGCAATAAACATTCTATTTTGCTTCTAAACACTTACAGATCACAACCATGAATAAGTTTATTGTCCTCTAAAATCAACAAGTCCTTATGGCATATTTGCTTTAGTAAAAAACAGAAATGTCCATTATATTCTCACTCATTCCGGACCACCTTTAAAGAACTCGCCAATCAAAGACGATAACGTTATTGCTACAAAGAAACCGGAGAGAATTATAATGACAGTACTGAGAAAACCTTTAACTATACCCAATGAAATCCCCACAAGTGAGGTTTGAGGAGGGTAGAATGTATGCAGACCTTACCATTACCTCGTGGAGGTAGAGAGGCTGTTTCCGAAGGACCCTCGGAGAATCTTTAACTAAAACAAACACTAATCACATTATGAATATCATAAGACGAGTCTTATTAAACAAAGTTCCTAGGCAAAATATATGTCAAGGCACACTGAACATCAGGTACTAGTACTCTCCAAATTATATGATCATATCACAACTTACATCGAAACAAGGATGGTATAATAAACAATCGATGCAGCAAAGTTCTAGCCTATAGGTGCTACAAATATTTACTTGATTTTGGAGCTGAGCGATCATCGATTCAAGTTTCCTATGACCATGCAATATTAGTAGGTCAAGAAGGCAGGGAACGATAGAAATCAATATGATTTGTTCACTAAGTATCCAATAATATCTATCAACTTGTTCGTCATCAACATAACCTCGTAGTTTTGTTATAGATATCATAAACTCGCTAACTGAATCTGCTTCTCACAGATGTAAAAGGCCAAGACTAGAGAAAAACGTTTTTCTCCAATGACAAATATCAATGCAACTTTCTTCCTAATAGCAATAGGATTTACCCAGAGAAATGCTGGAATGGCAAATGATGAATTGGTCCGTTCCATTACATGGAGAAGTAAATAAGATATCCACTTCACGATACTCGTGAGAAAGGGATGGATTGTAAGGAAAAGCAACACAGTGTCCTAGCATCTTAGCATCCTTACTCGCATTATCAGCAACTACTCCAAAATTTATCAAGGAATATCATGCATCTCAATTCCGTGCTTATTGTGTTACTAGTTTCTACATGTACAATGGCATCAAATATCCAAATGGATACTCGCAAACATATAGTGCAGTACACACACTGCTGCATATTAGCAAGCAGAAACACAACACAAAAGCAAATTTAATCAAACTGGAACACCTTATCAATCAATACTTTACTTACCACATATTCAAACAAGCCAGATTAGTTACTGCAACTTAAATGCATACACAAACTAGCAGATAACAACTACGTTTTGATCCCAAGCTAGTTGAGATCAGCTATGAATCCTCACTAACCATGTCAATCCATTTAAGCTTGAATGTATACAAAATTAACAGTATTCTATAGCATCAGGAAATAGGTAATGATCATCAAAATATATTTTTATTAACAAATGGGGCAATATGGTTCAAGTTCAATCTATGTTACATTATATTATCAATAGCATGTTGTGTCAAGGGTGTCCAAAATATGTTATTCAATCACTTCGTGTATCATTTTACTTGTATATACGGTATTTTTTCCCGACAAAGGATGTCCAATTGCACACCCTGACAACCACGTGGCTCCGCCCCTGCGTCTCAATTCCATGCTCATTGTTTTCCTAGTTTTTACATGTACAATGGCATCAAATATCCAAATGGATACTCGCAGACATATAGTGCAGTAAACGCACTACTGCATATTAGCAAGCAGAAACACAACAAAAAAGCAAATTTAATCAAACTGGAACACCATCAGCCATACAAAAACTCTCCCCTTTTTACTTACCACATAGTCAATTAACTTGATTCTATGGTATACTGATTAGCACTCTGGACACCGGATTCAGCAACCTGTGTTCGACTCCTAGTAGGAATGACCTTATCAATCAATACTTTACTTATCACATATTCAAGCAAGCCACATTAGTTACCGCAACTTAAATGCATACAAACTAGCATATAACAACTACGTTTCGATCCCAAACAAGTTGAGATCAGCTGCGAATCCTCACTAACCATGTCGCTAACAAGATTCTATAGCATCAGGAAACAAGTAATGATCATCAGAATATATTTTTATAAACAAAATGGGGGCAATATGGTTCGAGTTCAATCTATGTTACATTGTATGATCAAAATTTGTACACCAAAAGGGAGATTGTCTCACCGGCATAGACGAGCTACAACAAACTTCCAGCCTATCACGAAATCGCGATTCGTGGGACTTCAACATCACAGGCAATGACAAGCACACACCTTTCTCAACACACATCTTGTGCCTTGGCTTTATCCTATTCTCTAAACTAAACGAGAAATACTGAGGAAACACAATCAATTCCTTCAACTCCCTCCCCATTTCCACCACAAAGTAATCGAATTTCGGCTCCAAATTCTCCTCTATACTGTAACAAAACAATGAAGGAAACCTCCTAAACATCACCTTCGCATCTCTCCTCGAAAACCCAATTCTCTGTAAGTAATCCAATCGAGGTATAAACTTAGTCTCCACTGAACAAGAAAGCAAAGTCGCACATTTCGAAACATCTTCAATACCAATAGTACTCTGTAAGAAGTAAAGGGTCGGTCGGAGATTCTTTTCTACACACTTTGTGAGTAGCCGGGGTCGTCGACGGAGAATACCCGGAAGTTTTTCTCCGGTGACAAGAGCTTCCCGGAGTAAAAACGTAACGGCGGGTCGGAGGGTGGTTGAAATTCCGGCGGTTAAAATCTCTGGGCACATGTGTAAAACTCTCCGAACATCAAGAATACTGAGATTAACAGAGTAAAGGAAGTCAATAACCGATTTGAGGTCAGATAAAGAGGAAGAGACAATAAGGGGTTGTGAAGAAAGGCAATGTAAAGAGTCTACACCAAGTGAATCCAAAAAAAGAAGCTTTTCTTGAAGGTGGAAGTTTTGGGGTGGGGGTGGGGGTGGGGTAGGGAGAGAGGTGGAGGTGGAGATGGGGGTGGGTGGTTTTGGGTGTTGAGGGTATGAAATTGTGGAGGATTTGAAGGATTTGGGAGGAGAAATGGAGGATTTAGGAGGTGAAAAAGAAGAAGAAGATGAAAGATGGAGAGTTTCTTGCATGGTGAGTTCTCTCACATGGTGATTTTCTGGTTGTTTGAGATGAAAAAATGGAGGATTTTGGGGTGAGGGTGGGGGTAGGAGTAGGGGAGGGAATTTGTATCAGTGGTGTGGAAGATGGAAAGGGATAAGGGGATGATGTGAGATGACATTTCTTGGATATGTTTTCCTTGTGTTATCTTGAAAATTTCTTTTTAAGAGGGTTTAACGAGCTATCAGAAACAACACTTTTTTCTCTAAATTAGTGATAAGATTTGTGAAAATAAATGTCATTATGTGGGATTACACTGAATATATAGTTGTGTGTTGGTTTAGATAGAAGAAAGAGGGGCAATTGCTTGGATCAAGGTTGCGTATCGGTCGATTCAGTTTGATTCGATTTTGAAGTTTATCGATTTGACCTATTGATTATCTAGAGTAGAGTCTCGGTATCGGGAAATCAATAGTATAGGTCTTCCCTGCCTTTATCACTGGTGAGATCTCTGCTTGAACGTAATCATTCTTGTTTTGGATCGTTTTGAGGGTTGTTCTAGATGAATTTGTAGACAAGCTAAATCGTTATAGAATCAATAAGATAGTACCTTATCAATAATAAGTTTATCGATTATTGAACGTTATCTATTTAGTTATCGATTTAAATGTTAAGATTTGATATAAAAAAATTATATTAAAAATCACTTAGAAACAAGGTGACAACCTAAATGAACCATGCACATTAGTTGATAGATTGCATCCTGCTCAAAAGTATTATTGAAAATCACTTAGAAATAAGGTAACAAACCAAATGAATCATGCACATGAGTTTACAGATCGCATCTTGTTCAAAAGCAAACACTGATATATTATAGAATAATCGAGAGTTTGAGACAACAAAAAATAAAGCTTGAGTCAAAAACTTTATATACCAAGTGGTCTAAATAATATTTATTAATTTACTATCGGTTAACCTATTAAGAAAAAACATCAAATCGTTAAGAACTGAAAACTAATAATAGAATATATTAAAATCGTTACCGAGATCGCTAAATCAACCATCGTTGATAAATCAATTAAAGGAAAAACTAAGGGCCCGTTTGGCCATGCGATATGGTATCATGATATGGAATCATGATATGGTATCATGATATGGAATCATGAGATGAAATTGAAGGTTTGTTTGGACATGCGATATGGAATTTTTGTGTTGTATATTTTCTCATAAACATAAAAATCTCATAAGTTGTAAAACTATTAAAATAGCCCAATTGTTTATTCAATCTTATCAAAGAAACAAAAATTATAAAATCGCATAATAAATTATTACAAAGTTATTTGTTCTTCACTTAAATAATTGTTTCATCTAACTTTAATTTAATTAAAAAAATTAAACATAAATTGTACTTGATATGCTCATATCTCTCAACTACTCTTACAAATAACCTATAAAGTAGAAAAAATCATACATTAGTGAGTAAATATTAACTTAGAAGTTAAATGCACTAAGATAAAAATTAACAAACATCACTAACTTCCAACTATTTACAAGAAAAATCAATAGTTAAATATTATTGAATAATGAAATTTTAAAAAGTTACCACAAGTTTGAGTCAAAAACACTTCTAATAAAATTTAATCAAAAAAATTATAACTAGTCCACTTGACTAAATATTAATAACCAATTGATCAAATTTTCCCAAGTCCTCAATCAATTGGACTTGATATCATTCAGTCATGTGAACAAACATTTTGCAAATACTAAGATTAAGAAAGTGCGGCATCGCCAATGAAAATTGTCTTTTATCAATATTATGCTTAGTCATGAGATTAAGACGTTTTTTTTTATCATGAAAAATCAAAAAAGTATTACTCCCTTCGTTCTCATTTATATTCACCAAATGAATTTCTACTTGATCATTTATATTCACCAAATTTAAAGTAATAATAAATTTTATATTGGTGAGAATAATAAATTTTAAAAAGTAATGATGTGATTATAAATTTTATTTACATATGAAACAAATGGTTAGTAGATATAAATGTGGGGTTATTTTAACAAAATACAAACTCATAGATCAATTATTGTATTAAAATATCTCAAATCATGATATGGAATCACATGATGATTCCATATCATGGTTTTTGGAGAATATGGTATCATCTCTCATGATATGGAATCATGAGATGAAATCAGCGTAAAATCGCATGTCCAAACGCTGATTCCATCTCACGACACCATATCGTGATATGATATCGCATGGCCAAACGCCTACTAATTCAATTTTGAACACCATAACTTGAATAATGTATATTTGACCCAATGGGCTAAGGTTTACTATTTAAGGCCCAATTGCATTACACCCGATGACCTTGAAAATAGATAGTCTTAAATTTTTCAAGGGAAATTTTATAAATAGCAAATAGAATAAACTTAATATGCATTGATTATGCCCAATAACTATAATTTTATTTTCTATGTGTATTTTTGTTTGTATATTTCACTTGTCAAATATACAAATAGGGTAATTATATACAAATTTTGTATTTATGCAGTTAGAATTTTCCAGATCTTATAGAAATCAGATGTATCAACAAATCATATACAAACAGGATAATTATATACAAATTCTGAATTTATATGGTTGTGAACTTTTCATAACTTATACAAATCAATTGTATCAACAAATCGTATACAATATAGGACAAACATATACAAATTCTGAATTTATACAATTAAGATTTTTTCATAACTTATACAAATCAAATGTACCAACAAATCATATAAAATCAGGGTAAGTATATACAAATTGTGTATTTTTACGATTAAATTTTTTTTCATAACTTATACAAATCAAATGTATCAACAAATCATATATACAAAAAAAAATTTGATGAATATAAATGAATCTAATGTATATATATCCCTGGTAGACAAAAAAATAAATAGTTAAAGGTATATATTTGTAAATCTAAATATAATGTTTGTAAATCACTCGGTAATGTTATAAAAAAAATTAAAAAATGAATTTATCAAAATATACAAATTAATTCATATAAATTACCTCGATTTTTTCCCCTCTTGTTGGTCCATTGACTCAGATTGGACATTGTTTTTCTTCAGATGATTTCAATTTATTGCTTGTAGATGCAATTTCTTTTGCTTACACTTGTTTTTTGAAATCAGAACCACATTTGACTTGTCTTCTTTCTGTTCATCTCTTTTTTTTTTCCTAATCTTTTGAATTTAAAACATGCAAACCTTGTTACATCTTGGTTGGATTATTTTTGTAATGACCCGGTCAGTTATTCTTGGAAAGTTTCATGAATTGATCGTTTTATATCTCTTGATATCAACCCCAAGTCTTTCATGATTGAGTTTGTAAAGTTGGTTTTGAACTTTGAGTTAAAAGTCCAAAGTTTGGTAAGTTTGTGAGTTTTAAAGGCTAAGTTGTTAAGAAAGTGATTTTTGGGGTCTTTTAGAGTTTCGAGTGTCGGAATGGAATTTCGTCGATTCCATCAGTCCCGAAATGTGAAATTTGAGCAGTGAGAGTTATTAGTTTCAGTTTCCGAGTTTTTTTGAGGATTTGAGGTCCTAAGTTGTGAAATTTTCCATATATCTTTTAAATATTTTAGATTGTTAATTATTGTAACTTATAATACTTTTTATGTAGTTTACAAATATATAAATTTTATTTCAAAAAAAATAAAGATTTCATGCTCAAATTCTCGGTCAAACTTAAAATGGTTGATTCTCGAAAATCGAAATGTGTCACATAAATTAAGACAAATGGAGTGTAATTTATCCAAACACAATACAATGTTATCAGTCTCACTTTTCACTTTATTGTGGAAAAAAAGAATTGGTAATTATAACAATTTTTTAAATTTATTATCATGTCAAACAATAACACATAAAGTGAAACGAAGAGAATAATTATTTTTTCTTGAAATATTATTTATAAGGATAGGTAAAAGTGAATGAAATAAGTATATTCATTCTTCATCATAGTCTGGGTGGGTACAAGGTCGCGTTGTTATAGAGCTTTATGGTTTACCCTAGGATGAACGTTCGATATTCGGTTCAAATTTCTCAAATTTCAGATTCGATAATTTGATAATTGGTAGTTAAAAGTAGATACCAAATATCAAAATTCTAAATTTTGATTCGGTAAACGGTAAATTAAACTTTGATTTGGTACGGTATTCAGTAATACCATATTGAAGTTATAGTCGATTGTATTATAAAGATAATACTATTTCTCGAATCATTTCTATTTTTTTTTAAATGTGGAGGCACGATATTATAGAAAATTAACAAGTAAGAAGACATTAAGAAAAATAAATTGATACAACTAAAACACATAAGTATTTAGATTTGTTTATGCTTATTCTTTAGCTTTCGCTTTGAACTTGTACTAATGACTAATGAGTAATGAATATGTTGATATATGACTTTCATTACGTACATAATTTGGTATTGGGGAAATACCAAATACCAAATGGTACTAATGTTTCATACCAAACCCAAACCAGAATACCATACCAAATATCACCGAATGCCAAATTATCAAAAAATTTGGTTGGGTTCAGTTCGGTAATTCGATTTTTGATATTTTATGTCAGTCCTAATTTACCCCAAATGCAAAATTTCTCGATACGAATTTGAATTTAGTCAGACTTTAACGTAGGTACGGGACACGGAAACCGAAAAACAAAAGAGGGAGGGTATATATATCCATTTCAGTCATCAATTTTTTGTTACACAAATTCTACTGCTACTGTATTCCACCATTTTCAATGGCTTGCAGTGTTACTTCTACTGCTCTTCTCTATTCATCAAACCCTAGGGCTTCTGCTTCTGCTGCTGCTATACCCAAATTGTCTTCATTTTCTCAGTCAACAATTGTTCCTTCTTCTTCATCTTTCAATGGACTCCGCAACTGCAACACTTTAGTTTCTCGTATCCCACATTCCAATTCTTCTCGCACCAACAAATCCCGATCCTTCGTCGTTCGCGCCTCTGTAAGCTTATATTTGAAACCTCTTTTTTTGCATATTTATTTTGAGTAGTTTAATGGGAAAAAGTTAGCTACGA